TTATTTGATCGAACCTCACCCTCAATTCTTGTGTTCATCCTTCGGGATAGATATAGGATTTGAGGTAAAGCGCTCTTTCATTTAAACTATGAAAATTATGGGGTCAGTTTGACTTCATCTTTTTCAAAATTAAAATTTTTTAAAATGTCCTTCCGAAGCGGGCAACGGGATTTCAATTCCGATGACCGACAGCTTCTTACGGGCAAACCCCACACCAAAAATAGTGCCGACATGTGTTTTACAAAAGGGGAAACATCGAAACAATCACCCCAAATAATGTCAAAAAAAGAAAGATAGGGCTAACTCAAGGAGAACGAGGAAGATAGAGAGAGGGGCGTCAATAAGGGATCAATGACTATAGCAGGAGGTGATAGATTGGCAAATAAAATGCCTTGGACTTCAGTGTTGGTCATCTTTAATATTTTAGAGAAGCGATAAAGCAACAAATAAAAAAAATAAAGAGATTTGTGGAAGTCCTAATTGAGAAGGTGGAAGCAAAAAAGATCATAGAAAAGTCAACGAGTCACAAGATCCTCATAATAAGAAGGCAGCGGTGAATTGAGGAATAAAAGGAAAGAAAAAAATTTGGATCTTACATACTTCCCAACTTAACAAAATTTTGCCCTAAAATTCATACCTTTATTTTGGAATAGCTATGGGTATTTTGTGGTCATCTCTTCTTCAATCTTCTTAGTCGCTTCTCATTCTAACTAGTTCTTCCAAAACACTCTGACGAAAGAAATAAATTGATGGCAGAGATTTCAAACTTTACTATCCAAGATGAGATCTAATATATTTTCATAACTCATGTCTTCTCGAATTAACAATGACTAGTACTGAATGATATGAGAGTCATTATTCATGTAGCGCCAAAATAGAAGTACATGAAAATATTGTGAGCACCTGTACGTTTAGGAGAAACAACCATACAATATGAAATTCAGATCTTACAACCTCCATATTATTTTAGTAAATGAGTCCCGACCTAATAACCCCATTAAGTCTCCAAGAAAATCCCCAAAGTATGTTCAAATGTGCTTCAAAATTGAAGTGTCGCATATAACTCTGAGGGATTACTTTCTCTGAGATTTTAGCTTTCATTCATAATTCCAAGCATTATGACACTATTTTTTAGTGTTGAGGAGTAGTTTTGTGGTGCTTAATTCTCTATCTTGAAGTTTTTTACCATTATGCATTTAACATTACAACATTATAATCCAACGATGAAAACCTAAGCTTTGGGGTTTTAAAGTATTTTTTGCACAACACATTATGGTTTCATAAATTTAGCTCTGAGGAGCCACATGTAATGCTATGAAGTAAATTGTCTAGTGCTCCAACGCCATGCTCTCTATTTTTCTAGTATTTTTTGCTTTATATGGAGTCATGACACTGTTGAATATAACATATAGGCGCCACCTTAACTATCCTTTAGTTGTTATGTTTTTTTTCTTTTCCATTGAAAAGTCTTACAAAAAATGAAGTGATTGGTTATAATAACCTAAAAAAGGATTTGATTTTTAGAAAATTTATTATTAATTAAATCACACATCACAATAAATATCCCCAAATTAAAATTATTACTTATCTTCAAGTTCTTACATATAATACCATCATATATTTGTCTTAATTTTTAGCAACCAACTTACAATTTAAATTAATTTTAAAAAAAAATTAGATAAAAGATTGTCTTGAACATAGAATTATTACTTATTAATGATTAGTTAACTAATAATAACATATATTCTTACTTCAACTTATATTCCTTTGACTCTAATATGTCATCTACAAATTTCTATTATTTGACATGAATCTTGAGGCGTAACACAAATCTCAAGACAATTTTGTGAGTGTTGGTTTCATTTTGAATTTTAAAAATAAAGGGATCAAACAGATCTTGAATATTTTATTATTCAAATAATCGAATACGACATAAAAAATGATACACTGTGAGTTAGCTCTCAAAATACATTTTAGAGGATTGAGCTTTAAGTTAAAATTCCTATAAATTGCAAATTTTTTTCTAGAGTCTTGCATATATCTCTCTCGGGTGACCTACTTTTTATTAGGAGATCATTGATATAGATTTCAATATTCTTTTTTCTATTTAATTTGAGAAATATACATCCATCAATTTTTTGTACGTTGATCTAGTATTTTTTTGACTTAAAGACATTACATTATAACAGTACATTACATTATAACAGTAGACCCCTCCATAATAATGAAGACAATTTTTAGTGCATCAGTCGGGTGCATTTTAACTTAATGATAGCCTAAGAATGAGTAAAAAAAACTCATGCTTGAAAACCCCACAAGAGAGTCAACCAACATGTCAATTCTCGGTATTAGATCACTGTCTTTCTAGCACGTTGAGTTGAGGCCAGTGAAGTTGATGCACATCATCAACTTTTTATTTGCTACTCACACCATCAAAATATTGGCCAGTCATTCAGGATATTGTATCTCATGAATGAAGGTGGCATCTAACAACTCGACATCTTGCCCGATAATTTGGGCTAAGGTGTTCACCACAACCCTCATCTTTTGATTGATGTGTTTTATTCCTCACTTTCCTCACTTAAGTTCAATCCATGGCAAGCGATGTCATTGTCTGCCCAAGGCATCTCACGAGCGATCCATACAAACATATCATGGTGCTTCTTTAAGATCAAAACCAATTGGTCCCCATGTTTACAAATAAGGGTCTGTTTGAGGCAGCTGTAACTTATTAAAAATCAGTTGTGGAGCTGTTGAAGAATAATCTATTGTTCAAAAAGCTATGACGACTATTGCATTTTTTTTTTTTTGAAAAATTCAGACTGCAGCTAGAAAGCTGTCACCAGACCTAGCCAGTATCAGTGAAAAAAACATAGATTTCAGTGGTATCTTTTTGAAAAAGCAGTCTAAATGTAATTTACCTAAAACAGATAAAACTGTGGTGCAGTGCTGCATCACCGCCCCAAACGAACCCTAAATTCTTTTTTTTGTCTTTAGTGAATTTCAATCCACTATCTTTATTGGTATCAAGTTGGAGAAAATGTTTTTGCCCATTCTTTGCATCCCATAGATAACTAGTTCTTGATTGAATTATGTCTCCATGAATAGTGATGAGTTTTCCTACACCAAAAAAACTTACTGCAGTGTGACAGGTAAAAGACATCGCTTTGAAGGTATTCAACAGTGGTCTTTCAACGAGGAGTTATATGCATTGGGTACATCTTTAATAACAATATCAGCTAATGTCGTGCACTACATGTCTCGTTCTCCCCACATTAAAGGCAGGGTTATTATCTCACACTTCTTTTTTCTCTCCCCGGAGAATTTGTAAAGTGGGTCTGAGGAAGGTGTGAGTTGATTGGTGGTCATGCTCATCTTCTCGAAGACTCATTTGAAGAGGATATTGATGAAGATACCTATGTCCATCAAGATGCTCATGATCTGGTAGTCCAAGATTACTACAGTGACCATGATAACATCATTGAAGGAATCTTGACATTGGGTAAATCAACATTTGTGAAAGTGATGGGAGGATGAGTTGATGTCATCAGTTTGGCCATAATAGCCAAATGAATTCTCTCATCTTTAAGCACTTTAAATTAGACATTGGTGAGGCTTCAAGTCCATCTCCACCAAAGATGGTTGATACGCTAATAATATGCGCACAGAGTGGGTTCGTTGTTAACATATTTGGTAGCTGCCTTCCTTTCCCTTCGGGTGTTATCCTCATAGACCACAAATTCCTTTAACATCCCCATGTTAAAACTCAGTTTTATGATCAATATTCATATTGTGGGCATAGTATATGTTGGGATCACTCATATGACTTACCGTCTTCATATGAAATAAAATGTTAAAGAAATCTTTATTTTGGTTGACCTCAATGTTCTCAACCATAGACATGCTTAATGGTGTAACTTAGGTTAGAGAGAACCAAGGTGGTTCTTGTTTTCTCAGGGGTATTTTCTCAACTAAACCTCTGTAAGAAGATTCTCACTTATGTCATCTAAATTGTTTTTAGTGAGGTGCTGTGCAATTTCCCCTGCTAAATTGACTTTTTGGATTCCTTTGATCCTGATGGGGCTATTCTTGAAACCTCTTCATGAATTTTTGAGGTCTAAAGGAGCCAACTGAGAATCTCATTCCTCAGCAAAAATGTGATTATTAGCAAGCTCAAAGATCTCGACCAAGGTCTTTGGCTTCTCCAAGCCAAGCACGTATTTCAATGTGCCTTCTTATAATCTTTGGGTCAAGGCTGTGTGGGAAACAACAAGTTCTAGGTCTAAAAAATCCACACTCACAATTCCTTTTAGGATGTTAAATTTTTTTAGGACATCGAGTCTTGTACGGTCCGTGAGTTCACATAACTTGGGAGAGACCTATGCAAGGAATGTAAAAGAAAAAGATGGATGTATGCTCAAGGCCCAAACAATACATTATACTTTCCCCGAAAGGACTCAGAGAGTCCCCTTTCTTAAGTCTCTCTCTCTTTTTTATACATATACAAGAAAAATATTAATACATAAGTCGTGTAGTATTAAATTTGTCTACGGTATATGTGTTAGAAGACTCATAGTTATAAATGAAAAAGTGATGCATGCTAATCTTTTGTGTCAACATTGATTTTTGCGTTATTATAGTTACTAGTATTATAGAGAATCAGAATATGAGTATGATTTGTTAGTTCATCTTATAAAATAGTAAAACCAGTTTGACGAGCTAGTTCGCCCAGGCAATTAAGTATATCAACTCGACAACTAGCATAAGAAAACTGTCACATCGATGAATGGGGTTGGTGGGCCACTCTAATAAGAGTCATGCCTTTCAAATAGTCGGGCTAACCCAGACTCATGAGGCTTTTTGTGTGCAAGTTCTATGATATATTGATATTAGGTACATGACCCTTAATTTCAGAGTACTTTTTCTTTTATAATAATTAAAAAATACCGGACATCCCAAAATGCCCCCTCTAAATGCTATCCTTCCTAAATAAAACCAGCGCTAAGGAACCTTGTTTTACCATTTCTTTAGGATTTTTCTGGATACCCAACCTCGGCAGAAACCCTAGCGTAAGGCCGATAACGTCGCCGTTTTTGCTTGTCTTCTTCAATCTCATCACTGCGCCTCTAAAACCCCATCAATTGTTTATAGATTTGGTTGTTTATCTCTTTACCCTTCTGTCGAACCTCGATAGCTCTTCTCAATGGCGGAGGAAGAAGTTAATACGGAAATAGTATGCGAGAAAAGTGAGGTTTTTCAACCGTTGAAGGAAACAGAGCCGGAAGCGCATGAAAAGCTTGAAGAAGTGACGGCGGTCGCTTCTGTTGAAGTTTCGGCGCCGGATTCCTCGGATCAGAAGAGGAAACTAGGGGATCTGGAGCCTTGCGAGAACGAGGAGGCCCCGGCCAAAAAGCAACACATCGACGTCTCGGATTCGATATCAGAAAATCCGGTCCCTGCAGAAGACGAAACCACGGTGGTGCTGGAGGCAGCGAAGCAGGAGATTGAAGGCGGAGAAAACGACGGCTCAGCTGGTTTGTGCTCTTTGATTGCTACTTTTCCATTAGGGTAGAAGATGTATGCCTTCACGAATAAGCTTTGAGATTTCATGTTTCAGGGCAAACGGAAACTGAAGAACCACTTCCTGTTGAAGATGCTGGGGCATCAGATGGAGCATTAATTAGTTCCGCTGTTGATGGGAGTATTGGTGATGAGCAGCCGGGACATGCTGGAGAGCTTGATGATGCAGGTACAACTTGTGTATCATAACTTTGCTAGATTAAATGCATAAAGATGGTTCTCTGTAAGTTTTCTTGTTTCCAATATCGCATTAGGGATTGAAGCTCTTGCTACCAAAAATAAAAATATATCTGTAACAATAAATGCCTTGATGATTTCTATGCGGAGTGTTTTATTCAACAATCCAATTTCATCGACCCTCTGATTAAAAATTCTGCCTTTTTCTTTCCTCCGATAAGTCACTCTACCTATAATTTTTCACCTTTCATGGTAAGGCCATCCATTTTTAAACTGTTCCATTTATGATGCTAAATTTCATTGTTAAGTTTGGATATTCAGCCTGGGAAATTTTATAAATGGTTTTTTTTTGGTGTAAGAATTTAATAATTCTGATAAAACAAATTTAATACGGTTGGAATATAACACTTTAATTGATTTTTTTATTAATTAAGGATAAAATTCAACTATTAAAAAAAACTGTTGGCATTTTTTATTTGGGCAGTTATTGTATATATTTAAGTTGTCCTTTTTTATTGCTTGAAACTTCTTACTCGAATCTTTTCTAAAAAGATTTGATTTATGCGGCTAGTATTTTATTAAAAAAATCAATAGTCTTCTTTTTGTAAATAATTAAAATAAAGGAGATCTTCATGTCAAAATGAGTCATTTTGTTGTTTTGAAGTTATGGGGGAATCTTTTCTATTGTGGTTAGATATATCTATATAAATAATTTACTCTCGGACTTTGAGTGAGTGAAGTTAGTAAACTTTGATTTGGTTGAGTTTAACTTACAAATGGAAGTTCCTAGATTCAGTGCCGCTTCAACCAGATATGAGAACATGTAGTGATGGAATTTGTATCGAGTTCTCAATAAGAAAGTATCCTTAAACTTCATATTGTGTTTCACTTGTTGTTTGTTCAGGATTGGGCAGATATATTCATTTCTGCCCCTTTTTAGTTTTCAGTCATCATTGAGTTGATTTTATTGTGCTTAGAAAGTTTATCATTAATCTATATTTCAACAAATATTAAAAAATCATCTCATCACAATGGGGAATCCACCAAATGCCTGCTATCTTTCAGAAAAGGAATGCTTCCCAATTTAATGGAATGCCTGACATTGGAACTGTTGTAGGTGATGAATATTCTTTGGAAGATCAAGAACTTTGTTTTCATTAAATACAAATAAAATTGAGCTGATTTGTTTTTTTTCTGGTTTTTCTTCCCTCTTTTTATAAGCCGAAACATATTTGCATAATTCTTTCTGCAAGTTTCAATTGACCTATATTAAGTCTCTTTCACAAACTTTTTTTTTCTTTTTTTTTTCCCTTTTCATGGGTGGAGGCTTTTAAAGAGCTTGATTATATCCGCAGATAAGAATACTACAAAAACAAAAGGAATGGAATACAAAAAGAACAAAATAACATTGTTCTATTGAAGCTGTTATATATAAATTTCCACATGAAATACTGTTCTATCTTATCATCAAATCTTTGATCTCTTAAATGTATATGTAGAAACATTCCCCCCTTTTTACTCCCTTAGTTTTTGTTATGTCCATTTTTTTCTTTTTTAATTTTATTTGCAGACTAAATGGTGAACTTCAAGACTATTTTGAGATTATTTTCTATGCTTAACTGCTACATTTTCTGACAGGCCTCGGACAGGTGAATTTAGAAGCTGACCCTGTAAGTAATGGGCAAATTTCATCCAATGAAAACTTCGAGCAAGCTTCCGTGGATGATATGCAAAGATCTTCACCCTCGGCTCCTCATCAAGGCGGTTTTCCACATCCTGGACAGCAAGATTCCTTTGATCCTTCAATGTCTCGAAAAATTGAAGTTCCTAACAATAAGGTGATTGTATCCATTTTACCTTTTGTTGTTTCTTTGAGTTATATAAACCAATCTTTCTAGGATTGTTTTGTTCCATGTTTACTGACAGATAACGTATCTCTGATGGCATTGTCAATATTTTTTTTTTGTAATTGAACATGCTACCTTGTTTTCAATAATTGGCTTACTTTTTGTAAGCTATCAATCATTTGTTTACTCCCTTCAAACTAGGAAGTCTAATTTGCGTTAGTGATGGGAGTAGTTTTTTAGTGCTAACCAAATGTAAAGTAATCTCTCTTCTCGATATGTAGAAAGTGTCCTGTATTAGTGTGGTGATTTGGATTGTTACAACCGCTAGTAGCTGATTCAAAATTGATTAAATGAGGACCTATTTCATCACGTATTGCCAAATTTGCTGCATGAACTTCATTTTTGAAAGCCAAGTGGACCTATTCAAATTAGAGTCGTTTTATCAGCTATGATAGTTGAACTGTTACATTCAGGTTCATTTAATAAAATGCAAATTATTTCGGTTTATTTTATCGGCTATGTTTTATTGTATAAGAACAAGGATTCATCTAGCCGACCCCATTTAGTGGGATAAAAGGGTTGTTGTTGTTGTATTGTTGCCAACTCATTGAGATTAGCAAGCATGTCAGTGGAATCACTATGATGATTCATTTCTTGAATTAGCGAGTGCCCTATCGTTTGTTTTCCTCTCTATTTCTTGAATTAGCAGGCATGTCAGTTTAAATGTTTCTCTCTATTTCGCTGTGCTTTCACTTAATCATATGCAACCCATTCTCTTTTCCTAGTAATACAGTGCTAAACTCGGTATACAGTGGGAAACTTCCAAAACTACTTACTTCTTGGTGCAAACAGTGTTGATGTTTTAGCTTCATTTACTTTACGAATGAAGCCATGCATGTTTTAATAAACCAATTATATGATCCATTCGGAACTTAATGTTTCCAAATTTAATTTTCTATTTGAATGGAATTTAGTTTAAAATTATCCCTTCAATGATTGTTCCTTGTATTAAGCTTCATGCTTGCACATACATTTTTAGAACAGTGAACTTGATTGCAAAATTATTTTTACGAGCCTTGTATTGATGCTAAGAACTTTTAATTCATTCTTTGTTTTCAATGAAGGAGAAAGGTTGATTTATGTCTGCTATAAATAACTCTTTTGTAACAACCATGTACTTCACTGAACCATAGGTGTATGAATTTTTTAAAAGGCAATTTGAATTTTTCAGCACTGTTATTCTTCATAGGTTCATATAAATTAATTGTGAAGCTTGAGATTGCCTATTAGCTTTTATGCCGAACTTGTTTCTCAAATGTTTTGGGATATTGTATTACTTTATTTAACTTTGTTTTTGTGTTTAGGTTGGTGTCCTCATTGGCAAAGCTGGGGAGACTATTAGGCATCTGCAAATAAATTCTGGGGCAAGGATTCAAATAACAAGGGATGGTGATAATGATCCACATTCTTCTTCAAGGCTTGTTGAGCTGACTGGTACTCTGGAAAACATTAATAAGGCGGAACAATTGATCAAAGATGTTATTGACGAGGTTCATAATATGGTTACCAATAGCCTTATAAATACAAATATGATATGTTGGTTTGTTCTTTTAGTTTATTGCTTATGAACTGTATGCATCTCTTGTTAGGCAAATGCTGGCGGTTCCCCTGCACTAGTGGCTCGGGGGTTTATTACTTCACAATCTGGTGGAGAACAAATAGAAATACAAATTCCAAGCGATAAGGTGAGAGCTATGGCAATGTTTGTTTTGTATGTCTATTTTGTCCTTTTCTGTTGATATGCACACGGTATTGGAAACCATTGGTCTTTTATTACATTTGAGGGGAGAACTTATTTCCCCTTAATTATCCATTATTGCGTTTTATTTCTTTCCTTTTATCATGATGATTTGAATTTTCCTCTAATCTTAAGAGGATTAGTCTGAGCTGTATATATATATTAGTTATTTTGCTTATTGAGAAATTAGAGAGTTTTATTCTCCAAAAAATCTAAATTTTCTATAGGCTAATTTCTCTTGCTTTGTTGTACAGGTTGGTATGATTATTGGTAAAGGTGGCGAGACAATCAAGAGCCTGCAAACAAAAACTGGTGCTCGGATTCAGGTATTCAATATTAAATTGAAACTGATATCTGCTGATTTGTCATACAAGTTGATGCTAGTCACACCAGCTGGTGATGCTGAAGCCATTCAAATTATTGCTACCGTTACCTTGCAGTTGTTACCACAAAATCTTCCTAATGGCGACACATCAAAGGAGAGAACAGTGCGAGTAACTGGGAACGTAAAGCAAGTTGAATCTGCAAGAGAATTAATCAAGGATGTTATGAACCAGGTCTGTTGTCTTGTTGATTTTGTGTTTTAATGCTGATATTACTCGTTTAAGTAGTCATAGTGTATTTTCTTGGGAACATCAAGTTACTTTGCTAACAATGCAGTCTTAGTAAAGCCATTTGCCTTCACCCAATTTATTATGAATATTTATGCTCATGTATGGTCATCATGGAGATTTTGATGTTTTGAACTACCTCTTGTAGAACTACAATCTTAGATTAATTCTTGGAAATATCTGAAGTGGAACAAGCTTTTATTTCTTCCTTTCATCAGCTAAATAAATTATACTGTTCTTAGTGCTACTAGTTTTTTCATTTGAGAAAATAAATTTATCTCTTGTAAACTTCAGCTTAATACATCTTTTATGCTATGTTTGTGGAACAAAAATATTAGTGACTGTAAGAGTTGTATGTGTGCTAGATGACGAGAAGGATGCAGGAATAACATTTTTCAGAGTGGCATTTTTATTTTAATTTACTATAGAACACTGAATTTAATCATATTTAATGCACTAACACCATATAACTTTAGATGTTAAAGGAAAATCATCTTTTGAGTATTTTATGCATTATTTACTATCGAAGATGTGAGTTCCTTGAGCATGCTTTTGTTGCACTTTTTCTTAGGCAACTTGGTCTTCGTATGTGCATACCTTTTTAGCTCAGAACATTCGCTAAAATTCATTCATTTTTTTGTTTTCTTTGATGCACCATGTATCATCATTCTGTTTCATTGTTAACTTTACTTTAAAGCTTAGGGAACTAATGTTATCGATCTGCTTTCAACAGAGGGGAATCAAGTCATTATTGTTTTTACCTATATTCTATAATTTTTAAAATTTTCATGCATGTTGTTTTTCCAATTGTTAGATTTGTCTTGTATTAAGCATGATTTTTTGGATTTTGTATGCTACTATCATATTGTTATTGAGTTATATATTACATATGTTAATTTTTGTACAATTAATTTAAATATTATTCATTTTCATTTTTGTAAACATTTAATTTTATAAGATGGTGGTGAAATCTGCAATGCTTTATGACGTAGAATGTTGGCATGTAAAAGAGAAACATAAAATTAAGTGATGTTGAGATGATAATGCTCAGGGGGATGAGGGGCTTTACACTTACAGACAAAATGCAAAATGAATATATCTGCGAAAGGGTTGGAGTTGCTCTGGTGATAAACAAGAAGAGAGAAATGTAAATGGTTTGATCGCATTCAACATCGACCATTTGATGACCCAATTAGGTGAGCAGTGTTTTAGATTTGACTTATGTTAAGAAAGGTAGTGGTAGACCTAAAAAGGCTCGGACATGTATAAAAAATGTGCTTGATTTATTAGAATTTACTGAAAATATGACACTCAATAGGACAAAATGGAGAAAAAGGATTCATTTAGCCGACCCCACTTAATGGGTTAAAATGCTTATTGTTGTTATTGCTCTATTTAGCGAAGTACCTTTTCTATATTTTATATTTTATGAATTAATCCTGTTTTTGTATTTTCAATGCTACAGCTAATACTTCTAGTTTTGAATGTGTTTTAAATGATGATATCCCTATCTATGAAAATTATTCTTGCTATGATTTTGTTATATTTATTCTTAAAATTGCTATCTTATTTCATAAAGGTGCCAAAACCCACTACTTTGCATTTGCAGTGATATTATTCCCAAGACCCTTAATTTGACTATCAAACCTAATAAAGTTGATGATAGATTTAAGAACATCTGGTAGATTCCCTGGGAGCTTTTCCATGGCAAGTTTTAACTTTTAAATATGTTGATATATATATATATATGTGTGTGTGTGTGTGTGTGTGTGTGTTCAGATTAAACTAGCACTTATTGATATGCTTTTCAAGCATCTTCATTTTCATGTATTTTATCGTAATCTGAATTTTCAAAGAGATATGAAATCTAGTAGCAACATGTTAGTCACCAATGTAAACTGGAAAATAGTTTTGTGACTTCTCATTTTGGTTAGATTGACTAAATTAGGTTTTGTTTGGTTTAAAGTAATACAGGCTTCATTGTTGCCTTGGTTGCAATGTCACTCAGATAGCAATTTTATTTGACAAATGCAAACTTGTATGGTTCAATGTTATCTTTCTTGAAAACTGCGAACTATCTAGAATGATCGACGTGATTCTAGTTTTTTTTTTTTGTCTCTTGTAAGCATCAATATTGAATATAATCTTGATAGGTACAAATTAAGTGCTATCTATATTTTAACATTTTTTAAGGATAGAGATTTATCCCATATATATTTTTCAAAGGACAACCACAAAATTTTTTAGAAGAATTATTGAAGTGGAACAAATCTTTGATAGAAGATTCAAAATATTTTTTTAAAGTAATGAGCAACAATGTGAGTCTTTGGGATTGAATCTCTGACTTTATGGTTAGAAGCTGGGGTCCGAACTAGTAGGCCAACTTCATGTTATTTATATTTGCTTCAACCTGAATTAATAAAATATGTAGGTTGCCTTTTATCTTGGGCAAATTGCCTAGTCAAACACCCTAGTACCCGTTTATATTGGCCTTGTTCACCTAAACTGTCCTTAAAAATTATTCTAGTAGTATAGTCAAGTGCAATGTTATATTTTGGAATCTTCTATTTCTATGTATGCTAAAAGGCATTTTACATTTAAAGATTTGTACATGGCTTCACCATACTTTGCTTTAAATTGTAATTTTTGGCTGCTACAGGTGATATATAGTTCATCATGCAAAATAAGTAAAGATTCAGCTAATTAGCATTTGAAAGCTTAATGCAAATTTTAATCAATTCATTTATTTCTCGTACTTATTTTATTGACAGGCATATATCTTGGACTGTTTATTGTGTAAATTGAATAGGTTGTTTTTTTTAATTTCTTTTTGGAAGTGATTCTTTCGACTGTTACAGAACCGAATTGTTTGAGCATGATTTCATTCCTTTACTATGTTTTTCTTTGATGTACTCTTGAATTAAATATGGATTTGTATATATATGTTTTTTTTTTTTAAATTAGTTGCACCATTTCATGCTTTACTTAAATAGGGATGCTCCAAAGCTTGTCAAGATAAACTTATTTCTAACCGTTTCAATGATTTTATTTTTATTAGCAACATGATGATAGCTCAGTCTGAATTATACCGGAGCTAATATTCACAAGTATTTGTGCTGTTTTATTTTGTTCATGGTTTGCTGAGGAAACATGTTAGCTCAATTTACCTATTATATTTTTGTTTTGAAACGTGATACCTAGATTGGGGTACCTGATATGTATGAAATAGACACAGGTTTCCTCATTTAAGTTCTTGTTTGACTGGCATAGTTTCACTATGTTAATGACATACTACGGTACAAAGCCCGATATTGTGTGTTGTTAGAAAACTACTCACTTTATGACATGACAATAATATCTGCTGAGCATATATAAGTCTTCCATTTTCTGCACAATGCACTTGTCATATTTAGTTTCTTATGTATGTACTTAGCATAGGTATGTGACAAGGATGATATAAATGCTCTCAGAATGCTGCTGCAGGTTTTCTCTTTTTTTTTTGTTAATTGTTTGATTGGCATAGTTGCATTTCATTATGTTGATGGCATGCTGCTGTACAAAATCTGATAATAATGTGAACATATGCAAAGCCTGATATTACCTGCTGTTAGAAGTGGACCCTATTTATCATATGGAAGAAATAACTGAAGCCGGCACTTTTAAATTACTGTAAATTCAATGCAGCTATTATATGTTGGTTTTGGAACTTGCTGTATCTAGCTTTGTAATTGATGTGAATGAAGTATGTGCTCTCAGAAAGTTGCTGCGAGTTTCTTTATTTAAGTTCTTGTTTGAATAACCTAATTGCATGTCTCGAGGGTTATTATATAGTTCAGTAGATATTTTATTTCTATGAATTGATACAACTTAAAATGATATTTTGAGGATTTTTGCTGTACTAAGCCTTTATGTTAATGCCATCCTTTTCCATCCTTTTTTTTTTTGTGGAGCTGGTTACATCAATTGAAATTCGTTCAATATAATCATGCTATGTTTTTTTTTTTTCTTGATTTTGAATTAGAGTTTTCTCAAAGCAATTGGATGAAATCCCATTATATCCTTTGTTATTATTGACAATGATTCAGATTTTGGTGAAGCTGTTATGCTAGTATTTTTCTTTTAGCTATTTGTTATTGATTGACTTGTATATTGTCTTTGAAGTCTTTGTTTAGCCTCTTTTTAATTGGTGGGCCAACTTGCTAGGATTGAATTTTAAATATAAAAATCTTTTACTATTAATTTATAGCATTGCTTCCTTGCAATAATTCATGAGTTGTATTCACCTTCAATACAAACCTACATGCTTCTAGAATCTAGGGTTATACTTACCTTGACTAAATCTAAAGGCATTTGCCCCATCCTTGCATAATCCAAATGAAGCTTGTTGGTGGTTACTTTGATTTAATTATGCTGAAGACTCCAAATTGGGGTTGGTTGGCTTTCACAATGCAGATTTGGCCATACCTTTCTCATGAGATCAACGTTGGTATCTTGGTGTAGCAAAAAAACTTCACTCTTCACCTGGTCCACTGAAGAAGGGTATCAACTTTTAACCCTCGTCATTGCAGATCTATTATATAGTTGGTAAGCTTGCTTTTAGACTTTGCATGATCATGCAAGAGTATTTTGCTGGCCCTATTGTTATCTAGTATCAAGGCAATTGCATGCCCGTGTCATGTGGCTGATGATGATGACATTTCTTGATGTATAAAATATCCTGTATATGGTGTTGTACTATTTGAAATGATATGTACATCTCTATTAAGGCCAAAAGTAAAAGGTTCTACCTTTTAGATCATGCATTTATCTTGGTTCATTATAATTTTCAACAAGTGGCTATCATAGATTTGCGTACATTTTAAGGAACTCTACCATGGTTGTTTTTGGCTGCATATGATTACATACCAACTTGTGTATTAATTTATATAAAAAAATAAGTATACTTCAAGCTAAGCTTTTTATTTAAAATTTCTACATCCTAAACCATGCTTTTGAAAATTCAAGATATCGTGTCAATGATGAAATGACATGAATTTGGTTATTTGAGATTTTTTTTTTTTTTGAAATTGAAATAAGCACATCTTGGTGTTTCTTTTTTTAGTTGATTATGGACATTTCCAAACAAGATATTAATCAATTAGGTTTTCTAGTTAAATCCTTGTATTCGTGCTTTTCCTTCTCTTCTTTTTCATTTTCAGATGTGCAATGATGTATTTCTAGTTTTGATACCCATGTTGATTCATGTATATGATCACCATTTTTCTTTTGGGTTATGCTTCTCATTGCTGATTTCTTCTTAACAAGAGGAGGATAACTGAGGTTGACAAAAAAAGGTTGTTATACATACTTCCATTTTGATCATGTTCATAGGTTTCTTTTGGCAAATGTATTCAGAGTGCAAACTCGTCCTAAAGTGATCCTGCGGCATGGTGTACATCCCACAACTTATGAGAACCTGCCTGTGTGCGTGCGTGCGAGTGATATATATATATATAATGTATGTTCATATTTTATTCGCGATTATCTTTTGTATCATGTCATGATGAAAGTATTCAATTTTGAATGCTTTTCCTGTTGATGGGTGCTAGGTATACCTTCTTGTTGTCTGAAAACAGCACGAACTTACCGTTCATCATCTGCCATATTCAATGCTCAAAAGCTGAAAATTTCATCACCTTGTTGGAGCTTATTTCATGCTTTCCAGTATTTTTGTCTATCAATTGTTTTTAATGATCAGCTAAAGTTTTTTTTTCAAACCATTTTGAGGCTGTAATGTTAAACTTGATGCTGCTATTGTTGTTGATAATCTGACTGTCGTGTATATATGGCTTATTTAATACATTGTTTTGGTTCCGTTATGCAGGCTGTAATTGTTGGACCTATCCTGAGTATTAGTTTCTGCTCCTTTGTTATATGCATCGTATGGTTGGTTCAATACACTTTTTTTGCTCAGTTATGCTGGTTGTAATTTTTAGACTTATCCTGATTATCACATGACTTGCTGCTGATATGTTGGCATGCCTAAGCCTACTTACAAAATTATGTACTTTATGATATTGATGTTTGATTATTTGTAATCTTTGTTGCCATATTTCATTTACTTACATTTATAGGAATGAGTTGTTTTTCGTAATTAAACTGCATTTTTTATTCGTTTTTGGTCACTAGCTTATCTGGAAACTCTGAGAACTTGTTTTATTTAATACTCATTTGACTTTTGTTGTTATATTCTGTCAGAAGGTTCCCATGCGATCATCGCAACGCTCCAATACATACAACAACCAGCACTCATTTCGGCCTCCTCGTGGACCTGCACCAGTAACTCAATGGGGCCCTCGTGGGGCAAATCTAACTCATCAGACAACTGGCTATAATCATCAGCAGAGAGGTATGCATACACCTCAGACAGCACAACATGGTAGTTATTCCCAGCATCAGGCCCCTCCAAGAGGCGGCTGGGAGCAGCAGAGGCCTGCAGCTGCCCCTTTGCAGACTGCTCCTCCATCATCTGGAGGCTATGGTTACTATAACCACCAAGGTGGTGGTCCTGTCCCTAACACCCAACCATCAAACCCATTGTCTGGACCCCTTTCTACCTCAACGCCTGCTCCTATCAACTATAACTATGGTCAGTCACAGGCACCTGATGGCTATGGACATCAAACACCTTATTCACAGCCTCCACCTGCTCAGCCGAACTATGGACATGGCTATAGTGAGCCCAACCTCTATTCTCAACAGCCGCCTGTGGGCTCTCAGCCTGGAATGTATGGACAGCCATCCGCTACACCTTCATCATACGGCCCACCTCGAGGTCCTCAGCCAGGAGACTTGATGTATCAAGGTCCTCCAAGTCAATATCCATCAAATTTGCCAATGTCACAGCCATATCCATATGGTTCCAATGCCCCCGCACAACAGGCTCCCCCGTATGGCCAGTCCTACTCTGGTCATGCAGACGGAGGATACTCCCAGCAACCCTCCACAGTTTATCCTCAACATGGTGTTCAAAATGCTCCTGGATATAGCCAAGCTGGTCAAGCAGCTCCTGCACCATATGCTCAGCAAGTAGTTCCTCAGTCTGGTGGTTACAGTCAGTACCCTTCATCTCAGCCAACCTATGGTGACCAGACATCTCAGGCCAATGTGAACTATGGATATCAAGGAGGGGCTCCAGATGCAGGATATGCAGCAAATGTACCTAGCGCTGGTTATGCAGTTCCACAACCTGCCAGCAACCAGCCAGTTTATTCCCAGCCTCAAATGAATCCATCTGGCTATTACGATCAGTCAATGCCTCCGCAATCGGGCCTTGGTGGTGCTCCTACTGCTCCAGCTGGTTATGGAACCAATGTTTCTCCACAGCCCGCATATGGTGGTCAGTATGATGCAACTCAGATGTATGGTGCGCACCAATAATGCTTTTTAACTAATGTTTGTAGACTTGGACCTGAATCATCTATTTGTAGCCACTTTATATCAGTATCTAATATTTTCTTAAGTTTAGTGTTATGCTGGTTTTGCAGTATCATGTGTACCAGCTGGAGTTGTAGTTGTCAACTGTTTGCGATTCTGTTTATTTGGACAAGTTGTTGTTTAAGATAGGGATTATTTACTAGTAGATCGCTTGAGTTTTAAGCTCTCGTCTTCTTTCTGGATGGTCAAGGATAATGCATGTAGTTACTGCATTTTATGATCTTTCACAAATCCATATTGCAGGCTCGTTAGTTGAATTTTGAGGCCATGACTCAGCTTGTATGCTAGTGTTAAAAATATTGGTTTGGAGTTATCGAACCAGTGAGAAGATGGATAGAGAGATGGTCCGTCAATGTGCAGCCATCCATGGCCATCAAATATCAAAATTTATGGTAAAACACCAACCCAGATTTTTCATTTTTATAAAATTCTCAATTGTGGCATGTGTAAATATTTCATTTTGGTAGTTAAAAAAAAATGATTAATGTATAAATATCAATGTTTTATGGGGTCTATGAATTATTCCTTTTTTAATCTTGGTACAAGGGATATTAAGATGGTTTTTTAAGCAGAAGCTTGTTTTTGGTTATATGAACTTCATATGCATGTTTTATATTTAGGTGCTTCGTGTTGCGTACCTTGGCCTGTTGGTTGGCTTCTTCGGTGTAATACCCGTTAGGACAGGGGTTCAAATCCACTCTGACGTACTTGGCCTTAAAGAGGTGGTACTCGAATTATTAGACACATTAGAAGTGGCTTGAGGGTCAAATAATAGCCTCTGGCCATTCATTTAAAAGGAAAAAAAAAAAAAAGGTGCTTCTTGATGTCTACTATTTTCAATCTATCCTATATCACGTTTGTTGAATAAAATACATTCATTGGTACATCATTCTATCGCGTATTCATTAAGAATTGATTTGGAGAAATTTTTAATCCTAAGAAAAACAGTTGATATCAAATTATTAATTAGATTGTCATATGGCACAAGGTGACAAAGCGAAAATAAAAAATAAAAAATAAAATGATCACTCATAACTTATTAAAGAAACAGGAAGTTTTTCAGGATTTATCATTTTTGTATCATTTACATTTATAGATTTGTCAGGTAAGTCTGTTTAAATGCAAATGTTTTGATGATATGTAAAGACTTGAAAATTTAAACTTCATATTCTAAATGTTTGAATGTCAGATTCAAGATTTTGAAAATTTGAAGATTGAATTTTCAGATTAATATCAACTTAATTATGCAAATAAGTTTTATTTTGATTAATTAAAAGAAATATTTATTTTGGCCTCTTGCATGTTCAGCTCTTTCTTGGAGAAGTTTGTAGTTACTGCTTAGTTACAATTTCATTGAGATTAGCCTTTTCGTTCTCTCTCTTTCTTTTTTTTTTTTGTTCTAGTATTTGAATTATCGCTTGTGAAGAACTTTTTGTGTATTTTGGAGGAACTGAAAAAAAAAAACTTCAATTTTGATTTTGATAATGAGTGAGAATGCTCATGCAGTGGCTTGATGGCCGGTCTTATTTCTTTTTTATCACTAAAGTGATTAGATGATATTTGATGCATGTAGGAATTGAGCGGTATTGGGCTCATTGGATTTGTCTTGCTGAGATGCTTGATTTGACTAGAAGTGTATCATATTCAGAATTCATTTGTTGTTTCAATTATGTCTGCAAAACTTCTAAAAACGGTTTAACAGCTTGATTTGGGCTTGATTGGATTCAGATTGAGCCATTTTTGGTACCATTGGGTTTGTCTCGTTGAGTCAATTAGTTTGGTTGTAAGTTTGTTAAAATCGGAGCTCTAAATGAGTTGTGATCGAAGTTTGAACGTTTCTTGCTAAAAAAAACTACCTCAAGATTTCTTTAATGTCTCGAGATTAGAGTCATATAATAGGTATTCATGCTGAATGATAGAGATTTGTGTTGAATGATAGGGCCACATTGCAAGGAAACCCCGCGCTAATTGGATGCGCTCCTTTGTACACCACCTCCCTACTCAATATACACCTCCTCTCCTCACTCACGTGACTCTTTACGACTTATCACTTTGACTCTTCCTCCTCGCGTCTACTCTGTCCCACTTACGTATTTGGTGCTCAATCGGTTGGTGTCTTCCTTCTCCAGAGCTCCCTCGTAATCACCAACTATAAGCTTCTCTTATCTTCTCTCCTCACTTCTTCTCGTTTCCGCATTTGTTCTTCTATTCTCCTTTTTTCTTCTCCGCCTACCTTCTTCTTCTCTGATCTGGGCCTTTCTTCTTCTCTAACTTTCTTGTTTCTTCTCTCAACCTCTTCAATCTTCATCTTTTCTTCTTCCTTCTCCTCTTCCACTTCATACTCTTCTCATTTCTCCATACTCATTTTTAAGCATGTATTAGTAGAAGTTATCCATGTCTTTCTTATGATAAAAGCATGTGTTAGTGTAATTCGTTTGTCTTTCTTATGTTATGATCATTTTTTATTATAATTTACAATGCTTAGATTTTTCATATATGTAAATTTTCACCATATGTAGATCCTCCATATGTATAATCTTCACAATGAGTATATATATAATGTTCCCATCTTCATTTATGGTCTCTTTCACATGCTATTTCACTTGTAATTTTATCTATGTGAAATTTTCCTCATGTAAAATATTTTTTTTGTTTGTTAAGTAATCTCTCATATGTTAATCATGTGAAAAAGACAACCTCTTTGTGAATATAATAAAAATGTATTACTTATATGTGCATGTGGTAAAAAAATAATAATAATAATTTTAAATAATTAATGGAAATTAAAACAAATTAAAAGACAATATCAAAATTTTTTGTGAAAATTTAAAACAACTTGAAAAATGAATATTGAAACCCTTGAATTGAAAATTAAAACTATTAAAAAAAACAATTGGGAAATAGTTTGCGCATTAAAAGAAGTTTAAAATATAATTCAAAACAATTACAAATATTGAAATGTTTAAAAATAAATTAAAAAATATATAAAATAGTTTAAGACACTTGAATAAATTATTTAAATAATTTTAAACAATTTTAAAATAACAAAAAAATAATAATTTGAGACATTTAAAAATAATTTAAAATAAATTAAAACATTTAAAATAATTTTAAAATAACATAAAGCAATTTATAAATAACTTAAAATTAATTTTAAATATTTAAACATTAAAAACATTAATTAAAAATAAATAATAATTTAAAATAACTTTAAAATAATTTTAATTATTTAAGACATTTATAATTGATTTAAAATAACTTAAAACATTTAAAACAACTTTAAAAATAATTTGAACTTAATTTTAAAATAATTTAAAATATTTGAAAGTAAATAAAAATAATTTAAAAGCAATTTAAACATTTAAAAAGATAATTTAAAATTTAATTTAAAACAATTCAAAATAATTTAAAATTTAAAGGCATTAAAATAATTTAGAAGATAGTTCAAAACATTTAAACTAATTAAAAATAATTAAAAATAATTTAAAATAACATGAATCAATTCAAAACAACTTTGAAATAATTTTAAATGTTTTTAAAATAAATATAGAGTATTTACCATTTGAAAATAAATCAAAACAGCTTAAGATAATTTAGAAATAATTTAAAACCAATTTAAACCAATTTAAAAATAGTTGGAAACCTTTTTGAAATAATTTAAGAAAAATTTTAAAAATAGTTTAAACAATTTAAAGTAATTTAAATTGATTATAAATAAATTAAAACTAATTTAAAATAACCTAAAATAATTCAAGAACAAGTTATAACAACTTAAAGACATAAATCAAATAGAATCTTAAAACACTTAAATTAAGCGACTTAAAATACCGTTACTAAGTAGCTTAAAGCACTTTAACTAAATAACTTAAGATAACTTGAACACTTAGATTAAGATCACTTAGACACGTAAACCAAATAACATACGAAGACACTTGAACCAAAACAACTCAAAAGGACTTAAACTTCCAAAATAAAGCTTTCAAAGCTCAAAACGATTTGAACCTCTAAATTCCAACCATTTAAAATCTAAATTTTTAAAAGACACTAATAGCATAAGCTTAATAATGACACATGAAGTTCAACATAAAACTTCACATTAACTGAACATAAGGACAAAGCAGAATGGAAAATACTAACCTAGAAAACTAATGACAAATTACTAAACATAAAAACCCTGATAATCACAATTGACCAACAAACCTGGAACTAAAATAACCTATCAATTAAATAACTTAAATCACAAAAACCAAACCTAAGTCAATCAATCAAGAACCCTAGGTTAGTTAATGCAAAATCGAAATATAGGATCATACATAACTTAGCTTAATCCAATTTAGAAGCCTATGTTAGACTACTAGGTACCCTAGTTTGAGTTAAGCTGTAGAACCTATAAAATAAAAAGTCTTTCCCCATAAAATTGTGTATGCTCCGTGGGATGAAGTAACTCATGATTGCCGACAAATGTACATATGACCAACTTTAGCTAAGAAACTCTCAGCTTGTCATTTCTATGGTGCTAAGTGAAGATTTCTGGTTATAAGGTTGGTTCATGGTTGAAGGACGCCAATGCACCCGAGATGAAAAAAAAGTTATTGAAATCTTGACTGGGGGCATTATTCCTAAGTTTTAGGTTACTCCTTCTATTTGAATTTATTATAGAGTTTAGATTTAAGCCAAAATTAGAATTTCGCCTCAATCTAATAATTCTTCATACCCAAATCTATCCCCTTAATTTAAGCATCACTTCAACTCATACCCTTCAAAATTTAATCTTTCAAATTGGCCTTCCCAATTCAAACTTTCAAACCAAACTTATCCAATCTATTTTAAACTTCCTTTAATTTTATTCCGATCTCAATCAAACTCAATCTCTTGAATGATTATCAAGTCTGAATCTCTTATGCAAACCCTCCATGTGATGGTCAAACCACCTCTTATCGTCCCTCCCATGACAACATCATTTGAATTGTAAGTCCTGACTTTTGAACTCAATCTCTTTGGAAAATTATGAATTTAGATCCATTCAAACCCTTCTTACACTTGTAAGATATGGGAATAAATCCTAGTTCACATAAACCCATAAATCTTAAAGATTTTCACCATCTGAACGATTAGGTTGATTTCAATGTAATACTTCCCCCCCTCTGGATGTTATATTATTC